TCTACGTTTAGTCTTGGAAAAAAGGTAAGTAAAGGTAGGTAAAGATTTTATATATATATTTTTTACAAAACTCAATTATACACTTCCTGAAAGGGTACACACTTCCTAGGGCTTACTTAATTCAACTCTTTTTTTTTAACATTAATAAAATTTTTAATTTAATTAAATAATGAACCAAAAAATACATTACCTGGAACCACAGGAAGCGATTTTCCTTATTTTTGAAATTTTTTCTTCGTCTTACAGTTTCATGAGATGACAGAGTCTTGTTCAAAACCAAGCATTTATTGAAAAGCATCTCCGCCTTCTATGAGCTGTGCGGCACTTTTCACAAACTCCAGTTGGCACTTGAGGTCATAAATTTTATGAGCAAAATCGTTTTGTGAACGTTCAAACAAAAAATCTCTTTGTTGGCTTTTCATAAGCAAAGTAGACATTCAGATTTTCTGCATTCATTATGAGTTTTTGCTTTATTTGAGAAAATAAAGTAAACTTGGTTAACAGTTAAAGATTAAAACTGTACTGTTACTATTTCCAAGCAATTTTTGTGTGTTTAATTTTTATTGAAACTAAATTCAAAACCTTATATTTTAATGATATCATAATGCATTTTTAAAAGCAATTTTTAAACTCGAAATTGGATAAAATTAGTTTGAAATTATTGACTTTCATTAAAAAGTAAAAATCAAAATTTCCTCCACGGACATAATGGCTTGATTTTGGAATTTATGTGATCGTCTAATTGTGTACAACCATTTTCTCGGGACAAAAAGATCAAATTAATTTGCATTTTGTGACAATGTGATTAGTTAATATTAAGCGCAATTCATTAGGGACTTTCATAAGGGGTGGTTTCGGCATATAAGATTTCGACGCCATCTTTATAGAGGGGTTAAATGCACATAAACAAAATCTCAGTTGTTAAGAGAATGTTTTTTTCAATTAAGAAGATACAATGGATAATTTTAAATAAAAAACAATTTTATAAAATGATTTTTAGACTATTGCTCATCTACAAGTTGCACCTTACACGAGTTGCGGATCAGAATATATAAATTTAAACAGTATCCTTTCCGTGCATAAAAACCAAAATAAAAGGCATAATGACGTTTTGTAGTCGAAGTTTTCTTGTATTCTACAAGCATCCCGCCTTCAACTATCTCTTTAATCAAAAAAGACTCAATGCATCATTTGATCACTTCATCTATTTTTATAAGTTATACTTTGATTATAAGAAAAAGCAGTTTAGGACAGCCAGAAAAACTGTGACTTTTAAAACGGATTTTAGTTCACCTGATGTTCACATTGCTTGTTAGTTATAAAAATCTTATGGAGAAAAATTCTTCCTGCTGTAGTTTTATTTAAAAATAAGATTCCACCGATATTTTATTTTGAATTGCTGGTTTCAATAATAAAATTTCATATAGCAAAAGAAAAAATATCATGAGTTCAAAAATGATTATGTCAAAGTAAAAGACTTATTTTCTATGACCGTGTCTAACCAAATCAAACTATCGGTATGCCTTGTTTAATAAAAAAAATGAACACAAAACAGTTATTATCATAAACCTAGAAAATTAGAAATTCTAGAGAGATGTTATAAAAATAAAAAATAGCATAAAGTCAAAAATGAAGGAAACAAACTTTTGAATTGCATTGTTACAATGTTTTATCTTCGTGTAAAATCTACATCACTATCTCTACTATCCCTTTCAGTGGCGGAACTACTGGACGCAGGACCCTGCGTTGCGGGGGGGCCGACCAGCTATAGGGAGCCCTCATATAAAAAAAGTTATACTCAATAATATTTATACTATAAAACTCTTTTCCGCAAAAAAAACATTCTTTTGCGGGGGGGGGGGGGGCAAATTTTGAAGTTCCGCCACTGATCCCTTTGTAAAAATTTTTTCTTTTTGATGCTTTTTCTTTATAAATATGCGTCGTTATTATGTTAAAGAAAACTAAACTTATAATACTAACTTCTTCAGATCACAAAAAGTTTACTGTGAAAAGTAATATTATTTGCATAATGGAAAAAAAAAATTTACTGTTACTTTTCTATCCTTTCAACTTATTTACAATAATATTCAACAACATATACAAAGAAATTTAACTGAAATAAATATTACCATTGAGAAAATATACAAAACTGATCCTATTAGATATATAGATTATAATAAAATTTAGAAAAATTCAGACTGATGGCTAAACAAAGTAACTTGAGTCGAAATTCTTGTTGTGCGTATTCTGGAAAATATTCAAAAGCTTAATGTACCACACTAGTTTTCACTATCTCGTATTAAATAATATAGATATGTAAATATTGCTGAAAAAATACAACTTCCATGTGCTGAAATACCATTATGCATCAAAGACCATAATACTAATTCAATTTGTGTATTATTATAGTGAGGAAACTTAAGAGTGCTGAAATTAAAATTTGCAGTTTGAAATTGTGTTGAACTTTTTGAAATTGTGCACAGTCTATAGTCATTTAAGTTAAACAATGTCCATTCTTGACAAATATTTTGCGAATTCTTTTTCGATAAATAAGATAATCTGGTTGAGGTACAACATTGTCAAACAATGGCATAAAATACTATGCATACAACAAAAAATATTAATTTTGCATTTGGAAACTGGTAAAACGAGCCATAATAACCAATGCATGAATACAAGTTGTTAAAAGTTAGTTATTTTATCAATAGCCATTATCAATTACCAGTGCCTTTACAATCTTAATACACAATAGTAAATATGGATTAGTAACATCAAATATAACATTGCACTTAGATGAAAGGTATTTTCATTATAGCGGATTATTTTTGATTAATGTATTAGGTTTTAATAACTTTGTTGATAAAGATTTACTTTTCACTTTTAATAATAATTGATTATTAAATTTTGGGAGAACTTTTACTTTTATATACAAACTCTTTTTTTTTTTCTAGTATTTTTCTGCATTACTTTTTTCTTGTCTAGTTTAATGGTTTATTTTTTTATAAGGAAGAAAATAACAAAACTAAAATATTTTGTCATTATTTACTGTATTATATTAGGATAACATATTTTGAAATCATTCTTTAAGAAACCTTGAGATAATAGGAAATAGTTTCTTGAAGATTTGAGTTATTAGCATTATCTAGTTTTATTGTATATCATTTCTATTTATATCTATCGGAAGGTTTTGGTTCGCGAATGATTAAATAATTAATAACTAATAATAATTAATAACAAATTAAATTATTCTGTTTGAATTCAATTTTTCATTTTTTGCATAAACTTTTATAAATAACATACTGTAATATTGATATAGATTATAGATGTTACCTATATCTGAACTCTAATCTTCATAAAATTAATCCGTTCGACCAATTTATGGAAGTTAACAAGATTTAACTAAAACAAAGTATTATTCAATAATACTTTATTTAAGTCCCATCTCCTTTTTTTTGTACCAACGCTATTGTAACATAAATATGAAGTGTTAAACCACTTTATATTGTTAATATCTTTGTAATAATAGTTATTTCAACAAAAAACACCCAAATTTTGACTATCAAAGTCATTTACAAAATCTAAAACAACGAAAAACCTTTTATTATTAACAAAACAAAGCCGCCATTTCGTTCATTTATCCCCTATGAAAAAGTCATACATTAAAACCGCACGCTGTGAAAGTCCGTAATTAAAATTTCTTTTGATGTCTGAGATTAGGTTTTCTAAGTTTAGTGAACTTAAACCAAAGTGGTGTATTCCTGTTAAAGGTACTTCAGTCATTCACTCAGAATGTGTTCGCGAGCATCACAAGAATAAAAAACTGCCAGCAATTCAATTCAAACAGCAATTCAAACTCTAAAGATCTTATGACAAACCAAGATTCCATGCTTCACAGTTACGATAACTGTCTAGTTACAAACGCACTAAAAGAGTGTCTTACTACTTTGTTTGATAAACACTTCCGGTAATTTTTCCAGAAGATGTTTTTATTAAAAAAGTGTAGCAAAGATATTCATGCAATTGTAAAAAATAATGCAATGATAAGAAAATTTAATGGTTCTCGGATTATTAGCATATTTAAGAATGATGCATAACAATTATTTAATTGAAAATTTTAATCTATTATTCGTTAATCTTTTCTTAAATAAAAAAACCAATATATAACCCACACAGTACAAAATAAATTTTATATAATATACCAAATTAACAAAATTCCACAATATACATTTATAAATTCTACTTTGGTTAAGTCCATCAGAAATTAAAAAAGCCACGTTACTATACTAAAAAGATCCACGAAGGACGTCACACAAACGAGATTTTCTAAACGTTAACTTTGCTAAAAAATTCGACAGGTCTCATTAATAGTAATTTTACAAGTTCCCAAATAAAAATAAATAAAAAGTTATTCACATTTGGGATTTGTAAACTTACAGTATGACGTCATTCTATGCAGCATCGTATATTTATATAAAAAAAGAACAGCCGCAACGAACAATCAACATAAATAAATAGCTATTTTTTTTGAATGTTTGCAATTATTCAACATTCATTCAATATGTAAAAAAATCAATTAAAAATTTATTTCATATTTATACATGTTATGCATTTTTTGAAATGTTATATTTATAATGTCGTAAATTATCTTTATATTTATACACAATTTCATGAATTCCAAAGTTCCAAAATTGACAAAATTATCAACGATTGAAATTTTTATGTTAGGGGAATTGTTTTAGATGATAAAATAATGTAAAAAAAGAAAGAAATTAAAAGGAAGAAAAAAAAAAAATTTAAAAAAAAAGAAAAGAATTTTTGCATTAAAAAAACTTTATGATTTTCGAAAATTTTAAACAACTATAATATTAATACAATAGTATTTTCATATATATTTTCAAAATATTACTCCATAAATATCATCGATGTTTGCGAAAAAATTTCAATAAAATAATTAAAAAAAGAAACTAGATTGCTAAATAAATATGACAGTAACTTAAAAATTTAACAACTTATGAAAAATCAATTCTGTTTAAAAATAAAATTACACATTTTCCCCTTCTTGAGCTGGAGCTTCTACAGTGATCTCTTGAGGATCTGATAATGGCGTAACCTGTAAAAAAATACATTGACTTTAATGCTTATAATTATTGTTTTGAATTATTGTTAACTTTATCTACTTTAGTTACATGTATCAAAAGTTATACAAATTTAAAAAGCATTACCTCAAAAGGTTCGCTTAATCCAAGTATACACTCTAACTTTCTGCTCCAGTATCCGAAAATATAATAACCAGGTATATCAGGAACATCATCAAACAAAACCATGCAGCCGTCTTCTCCTGTTTCATCGACACCAGACACTGACCACTCATAAGTATAATAGTCTTGTGGACTTTTAAAATCAATCTTTTAAAAAAGAAAGGTATAATGAATGGTATATTAAACTCATTTTCGTAAAATTTTAAACAAATGCAGGCAATGTTATTTTGGCCATGATCGCCATTAAAAATGGGAAAAAAATAAGCTATATACTTTTATTTGATTACACCTATTATTCTATTTATTACATATAAATTGGTAGAAGTAAAAAAAAATGCAACCCCCTCAACCTTTGCAAGGTAATATACAGTAAATAAAAATGTACAGTTTACAATTAATAAAATCTAGGTAATATACAGTAAATAATAATCTGGTTGTTCTTAAACCAACGAAAAATATGATAAACTATTTTTTTTTTTACAGTTTTACCATAGGTAAATGAATTTTATTTGCCAAAAATGTTTTTTTTCTATTCTATTGATTCAGTTAAAAGCGGTGATAACATTGTGCGTTTTTAATTTAAAATATTTTGTATAAAATTGTGAATATCAGGTAAGATTTTTTGTATTTTATTGAATTATTTGTCAAATTTTAACATAAACTCAAAATGATATGAATTTTACATGTTTTTTGCTAAAAAAAGGATATATATTTTCACTCAGCTAAAATATAACCAAAATCAAAACCAAAAAAAGGGTAACTTTGAATATTCAATTTTAACCAAAAATGTTTTTGTTGCTGTCTAGGTATCATTGCAATAATAAATAATTTTTTTTATTTATAAAAAATATTTTACTGTGGTAGCCTAATTAAAATAACTATTGTAACAATTTTTATATTGTTATTATAATTTTTATTTTATATTAATTTGATATTTTTATTTTTAATATTCATGGCTATTTTATAATTTTGGTCAATATGCTATTAATAAACTAATAACTATTAATAATAGCAGTTATCTGTATATTTTCATAATTCAAAAATGTCAAGAAAATGATTGAGAATTTATCCCGCCACAAGAAAATATTGTAATAAATCCAACAATTTAAATTCTACTATTCCAATTTACTATTCCAAAACAACATTATTTTATAAATTATAAAATAAACACTGTAAATCAGTGAGTCACCATATTGTCTTTAGTATTGATTAGGAATACTGTTTAAAAAATCACTTTGAATAAGTATAAAAAGAATACAAATTGGTGTTAATGACTTCAAAAGTTTTGTTAAAATCTATCTGGATGATAGCAAAAAAAAAACAAGACAATACTTTAAAGATTGTCAACCAAGTTGAAAATGGCTTTATCTTGACAGATATCCGTTGCTGAAAGAAAAAATACCTAATAGTAATTCAAGGAAACGCATGCAGGATTGCAACATAGCAGGATTGTCATATAGAATTATTTTTCAGTTATTTAAAGCCTAGAGAACAAAATGAATAGAGTAATGCCAAATAATGTGTACAATGTGGATATAATGTGAAATATTGATATTTAACTCAATATTGGGTATTTTAAAAAAAAAATGTTTATATTTATTAAGTTATTGGTGACAATGAGCAATTTATTGAGCTTTTAGACATAAGTTTTGCATGTCTAAAAATCTTGTAGTTCTTTCATTGGAACAAGTAAACAACTACAATGCACATGCTTTCGAAGATCATGGTTTGAACTATAAAATGAACGACATTGTTTTTTGCTATAAAAGAGCTTATTGTGACTCAATATAATGATTTGTGACATATTTAATGAAATGACTCATGACACGATTTAAAGGAAAATTGATTGCTGATAAATGCAATGAACTTCTCATTTAGAGTATTCTAGATAATTACAAAATTAAACATAGTTCATAGCTGTTGTTCATATAAAAACATCACAACATGTTAGTGGAATGAATGAAACATCACAGCATGTTAGTGTAATGAATGAAACATCACAGCATGTTAATAAAATGAATTAAAAAAAAATTTCTGAACATTAACTTGAAAAAATAGTAAGTGACCTTAAAGATAAAAAAAGTATGTATGAAGATATGAATGTACCAATTTAAAAAAAAGTACATTGGTTTAAACTTGCTGAGAATAATTAATCTATCTTTAAAAACAGGTTTTGTACCTAAAACTTGGATAAGATCCACTATAATACCCATACAGAAAGTGACATCACCCAAATTACCACAAGACATAAGACCACTAAATATGTTAGCAGTGTATGAAAAAGCACTTGAATTATGTGTACATATGCAGTTGTCTACTTATTAAAAAAAAAAAAAACGCTATTTAATAAAAACAAATTTGGCTTCTGAAAAAATCACTCTACTGAAACAGCAGTTCAACTACTCATTTCAAAATGGCTAGACATAAAGAAAGCATTTGAAACAATCAATAGAAAAATGTTAATTGAAAAGTGCAACAAAGTGGGAGAAATAGTACTTCAAAGGATTATAAGCTACTTAACAGGAAGAACTCAAAGAGTAAGAATTAGAGATCAGTTATCAACTGAGTTATCAGTTATCAACTGTGAGATAGGTGTGCCCCAAGGATCAGTACTAGGGCCCCTGTTATTTATAATATACACAAATAATATTAGCAGTGTTACCCGATATGTAAACATTAATCTCTTTTCAGATAACACATTAGTCTACATTGAAGATAAAAATTATAAAGAGCTGATGATGAAGTTATATGATGAGTTGGAAGTACTTAGTGTCTAGTTTATTGAAATTATGATATTATTTGTCTGGTTATTTTCTAAACACATTAGCTATACTGCAGCCAAAATTGCTAAGATGACTGGCTTCATTATTCTTTGATACAAATGAAAATGATATTCAAAAACTAAAAAAGTCACAAAACAAAGCTATGAGAACAATCTTAACATGTAACTGGTTCACGCATAGTAATGATAAATTGACTAGATTAAACTGGCTATCTGTAAAAGAAAGTATTCACATAAAAGTATTTACATTTTTACAAAATACTATTCAACTATAGAAAATGTATTTCAAGGATTTTGTATAAAAAACAATGAAGTATGTGATTATTTTACAAGAAATGCAAATAATTATCACTTAAAAATCCAGAACAAAAAAAGCAGACAAAAGTCTATCATTTGCAATGGGATAAAATTATACAACAAATTGCCAAATGAATTTAAATCGCTTGACAGTAAGGAATTCAAAATCAAGTTGTGAAGCTTTTAAAAGAAAAAGGATATGTAATAATAATAATAAGTCTATGTACTATTTTTTATAATAATTTTAAATAGCTGTAAACAGGTAAATAATAATAATAATTATTATTATAATATGAACAAATCCAAGTTTGATTGTGATTTTCCAAGTTGGAAGAGACAATGATAATATTGAAAAAATTTGTGTCTCAAAACAGAGTACTTATGACATCTACTAACACCATAAATCAACATCTTGTTGAAAATTCATTTTGTTTTATCAGGTATGAGGGAACTTATACCCTGGCCGAGTCAAAAAAAATAAAATTGCTGATAAAATGTTTGGAAACATTCCAAACAAGTCCTTTTCAATTGATGAGAGTATAATAATATGTATGGATAATGTTTATTGTCAAAATCTTCTTTTTAGATATATTAAAAAATCATTTTAAAGCAATGCAAAGAAATCTAAACAACTTTTTAGAATAAAAATATTAAAACTGACATTCAGTTTAATAATATTCAAAGTTACCCTAAATGCAAGTGTAACTTTGAATCCTTATTTGAAATTTTATTTCTTAAAAAATAACTAGCAAATTGAAAAAATTGATAAAAATTTAGAAAAAAGTAATCATCAGAACACCCTTTATGCAAAAATATTTATTTGGTTTGCAAAAACTTTTACGTAGAGTTAAAACTAGTGCAAAGCACACAAAGTTAACCAGAATGTATCTGAAACATCATAAACCATCATAATGGTAGCAACTTTTTTTTGAGGAAAAAAAATTCAATTTGCATAACCTACAATAAAATAAGTTTGAGTGATAAACTGTGTTCAATAAATAAAAATAAAGAAAATAAAAAAATTTATTCACAATATTAAACCCAAATCAATTATGAAGATTGACTTTGTAAGTGTTGGAATGGCCTAGTAAAAGTCAAATTGAGATGGAAATTCTTACTACAATTAGTTTTTCATCTATTGATGTGATGAACACAAAAGAATCTGGAGAGGTTTTGCCACTTACATATCTTCCAAACTCTCAGTCAATTGAAAGTGCTGTAAAATCTGTAACCAAAGCATCTAAGCTTTATGTTTATAAGTTTTATGTTGAAGCTTTAAGTTTATGTTGAAGCTTTAAGTTTATGTTGAAGCTTTAAGTTTATGTTGAAGCTTTAAGTTTATGTTGAAGCTTTAAGTTTATGTTGAAGCTTTAAGTTTATGATGAAGCTTTAAGTTTATGTTGAAGCTTTAAGTTTATGTTGAAGCTTTAAGTTTATGTTGAAGCTTTAAGTTTATGTTGAAGCTTTAAGTTTATGTTGAAGCTTTAAGTTTATGTTGAAGCTTTAAGTTTATGTTGAAGCTTTAAGTTTATGTTGAAGCTTTAAGTTTATGTTGAAGCTTTAAGTTTATGTTGAAGCTTTAAGTTTATGTTGAAGCTTTAAGTTTATGTTGAAGCTTTAAGTTTATGTTGAAGCTTTAAGTTTATGTTGAAGCTTTAAGTTTATGTTGAAGCTTTAAGTTTATGTTGAAGCTTTAAGTTTATGTTGAAGCTTTAAGTTTATGTTGAAGCTTTAAGTTTATGTTGAAGCTTTAAGTTTATGTTGAAGCTTTAAGTTTATGTTGAAGCTTTAAGTTTATGTTGAAGCTTTAAGTTTATGTTGAAGCTTTAAGTTTATGTTGAAGCTTTAAGTTTATGTTGAAGCTTTAAGTTTATGTTGAAGCTTTAAGTTTATGTTGAAGCTTTAAGTTTATGTTGAAACTTTAAGTTTATGTTGAAGCTTTAAGTTTATGTTGAAACTTTAGGCTTTTAAGCTTTTTTTTTTCTCTCAAAAAAAAACTTACTAAAGATCAGAGTAAAATCATAAAATATTAAAAAAAATTTTATCCAAGCAAATTGATTGATTGATTGATAATTATAAAAATTGATATTTTGTTTTTATTCGATCAACGCCATAAGTGTACACTTATGCACCATTTATTGATCTGAGAGTTAGTTACTTTTAGTGCCTCTGTCAGCCTCATATTTTATTGGTAGCATCCAGAAACACTTAAGCTCTTATATTTGAACTAATTTTTTACATTTTAGCCAATTTACATTCAAATTTCAACTATATTCAAGTGTGAAGTATGTTTGCACAATTATCACCAATTTTTTCAGTTTTTACATGTCGAAGTCCGAATCTGTTTTATAGATTTTTAAAATTATTTTTGTTTTCAAAAAATTTTTCTAGGTGGAATTGCCCTAATACACACACATAAGCAATATTGTTAAATGTTTCTAAATGCTCAACTAAATATATTTAGTCTGCTTAAATTTTTTTTGTATATAATATAATTATATTTTATAACTTTAAAAGTAATATACATTAAAAAATTTATAAACTAAAAATTATGAAAGAAGTTATGAAAGAAAAACTTTATAGTAAAAATGAAAAAATAGAAACTCACAGGATACAAACCAATCCAATCCCAACTTGATGTTTGGTAACCTTTCACATAAAAAACACAAACTCCATCCTATAATGAATTTATTTATATTTATGTATGCATGTATATACATACATAAATATTATGTATACTATATTTATGTATATACATACAAAAATACATAGTATGTATGTATGTATGTATGTATGTATGTATGTATGTATGTATGTTTGTATGTATGTATGTATGTATGTATGTATGTATGTATGTATGTATGTATGTATGTATGTATGTATGTATGTATGTATGTATGTATGTATGTATGTATGTATGTATGTTTAAAAAAAAGACCCAGGTTTCAGGTTTAAACAATTTTTGTTTTGCCAAACAAATTGCATCTCGATTTATTTCCAATAAAGAATTATCCACTGAAGGAACTATTTGACTTGCTAAATCATCTGGCGGGCCTCCACTTACAATTACCCCAGGTAAATATTTATACTTAAATAATTATTACATATATATTCAAAGAAAATGTTTAAAAAAATAGTACATTTTTAACAAGTTTCTAATTACTTCAAAACAAATCATTTGAAAATTTTAAACTTTCTGAAAAAAGTTTAATATAAAGATAAATTATGTATGTTTTGGTATATATAGGAGATTCTGGTGCAGTTTGGGATGTTACTTGATGCAATGATTTATAAAGTCTTGTGAACCATGTTATTTAATTTCACAAAATTCCTGGTGGATATTTTGTTAAAATCAGTATTGATGGTTGTAAAGGTTTTCTCAAGTTTTGTCTAAACATTGTTGATACTGCATTAAGGGTTCATACAGCTCACTGCCTCAAAAACAACTTCTCACTCAAAGGACTGGCAATAATGCTGAATTTAAGAGATAAATTCTTGTTGCGGTCTCAGAAGATTTGCCAGAAACTCACTCCAATATTGAACAAATCTGGTCACTGATTAATACAAACAGAGTTAAACTAACTTCAGCTTGCGATATGAAAGTTGCAAATACAATTTATGGTGTTCAAACACATTCAATTATTCACCCTTGTACATGGTGTGACATCAAATCCAAGTGTGTTGCCAAATCTAGAAACTTGCGAACACTGGACTCAATCAAATCTAGCCTGGAATCTTTTCAGCAACCTGGCAGAGTTGCTGTATGTGCAAATTTGTTTGGCAATCTTATTCAAAAGTCAATCATCAGTGGGTATGACAATTTTCTGATTTTGGAATTAATCCCACCAATGGAATTGCATCTCTTTATAGGAATTTTCAATCATCTTTTCAAGATACTTAAAACTGTTTGGAAAGAAGCTGTTAAGTGGCCAGCTGCCCTCCACATTCAACTGTATCATGGGGGTCATATATATATATATATATATATATATATATATATATATATATATATATATATATATATATATATATATATATATATAAATATATATATATATATATATATATATAAATATATATATATATATATATATATATAAATAAATATATATATATATATAAATAAATATATATATATATATATATATATATATATATATATATATATATATATATATATATATATATATATATATATATATATATATGTATGTATATGTTTATGCTGAACATTTTACCACTTAACTGCTGTTAGTAATTATGAGTTTTTATAAAGCAAAAATATTGAAGAGCATTTGAATAAAGGAGTATATAAAGAAGTATATAAAGGAGTATATCAAAGAGTATATAAAGAAGTATATAAAAGAGTATAAAAGGAGTATAAAAGAAAAAGAAGCATTTGACTAAAGAAGTAGCTACTTTAAATAAATTTCTTGTAGAGAAAAGCAAAGACTAGTCTTATAATTTAATCAAATGCTATTTGATTGTAATATAATGTAAAAGGTAGGGTTTATATAGTTATTTTTTCACTTTATTTAGAAAATCAATGTATTTAAGGTTTTTTTGTTTTGTTTTGCCAACTGATTTTAACCTTTTGCCAGGTTTTACACTTTTTTTTAGCACTTTAGAAGAAAAAAAAATGTTGAGATATTTACATTATGCATAAGCTAATTCAAACCACTCTTCAAATAGCAAATCAATATTTTTGTCTATAGTATGAAAATGAAACATGTAGCAATAAAACAATTATAATAAAAATTTTTGATATTACTTAGTAGAACACTCATTAGGGTGGTCCAAATTTTACACATTATTTAAAATGCCGATTCCACAACCCTAAATGTGTTCTATATAATAACATAATACTGGAGTTAAAGAATCTCCAAAAAAAAATTTTTTTTAGGGGTAGCAATAGTCTCTTAAACATCAGACAGGCTCCTAATATTATCAAGAAAAAAAGTTCTACAAAAGGATATCATGTTGGGTCTCAAAAGAAGTGAAATTTTATAAAATTTTTTATAAAATTTCACATTTTATATAAAGATTACAAGTTTAAATTTTATGGTTTAAAAACTGTTATTTTTTAACAAAAAATAAAAAGTATTTTTTTTTAAATACTTTAAAGTTTTTTTTAAAATAAACTTTTTTAATTTGTGTTTCCATAAATTGTTTTTATTATTTTTAAAATTTTTATAAAATTTCACTTCTTTTGAGACCCAACATGATATACTTTTGAAGAACTTTTTTTCCTTGATAATATTAGGGGCCCCTCTGATGTTTAAGAGACTATTGCTACCCCTTAAAAAAATTTTTTTTTTGAAGATTTTTTAACTCCAGAATTATGTTCTTATATAGAACACATTTAGGGTTGTGGAGTCTGCATCTTAAATAATGAGTAAAATTTGGACCACCCTAACACTCATGCAACTTTTATTTTGAAATTAGTAATCGAATGTCACAGTAGTTGGTAATGTTTTCTAAATAGTTATTTTTGTGGTCACCAATAAAATTATTTTTTTCTGCACCACAGGGTACCTTCATGTACCCTGTTGTGCAGAAAAAAACAAAACAATTAAATTTGAATGTAGTCCATGTAGTAGTTCTACTGGAGATAATTCACATTTTAATTGGAGTATTGCACAATATTAGAATACCTTTAAAAATTTCTTCGTTTGACATGTGGCACTTTTTTATCATAAAAAATACAGTGGCTTCAGCTAAACCATTTGATCTTGGATAGTGCGGACTATTTGCTATATGCCTAAATTGCTACAGTTGAGAAAATTTTTGCTCAGAGGTTTCACACCCTCTGCTGAAATTTTATGCCCTTAAAATTCCACTTCACTTTGATTAAATATGCACTATTTCATGTTCAGCAAATTTACTTAGCAATGCAACTAGATTTTTATTGTACTCATTTTCTGTATTTCCAAAAACTAAAAAATGTATCATCTACACTTTTTAACTCATAGAACTCGCCTTTTGTATCTTTATTTAGTTGTGTCAAATTGATACAAATATGAAGTCGCCCATTAGGTTGGTGAATTAAAGGTTACCCTGTCCAATATGTACAGGGTCACCTTTAATTGTTCCTAATCCATTGAATACTGAAGGAAACTATTCTACTATGTTATTTTTGGTTATTTCAATCATACCACAAATAAATTCTTCAGGAATGTCTATTCTGACTAGATTAAACTTTTGTAAGGCAGGTTTACCTAATAAAGCAGTTTTCACATTCTTACAAACATATATGGTAATTAACTCACAGTTCTGACCATTGGTTGTAAATGATTTTTGGAAATATCCTGAGCAATTTAGTGGTTTATGATCAGGACGTAATAATTGTATGTTACTAGTATGTAATTGATTAATTTTAATTCCAAGTTTTTTTAAATGGTTAGGTCTAATAACGGTAACTTCGGCACCAATTTTGAATTTAATTATACCATTTTTTTACTTTTAGTTGTATTTCCCAAGGTTCTGCTGACACAGAACTAATCCGATCCAATTGCACAAAATCAGATTTCACACTTCCAAAATACAAAGCCCCTAAATGCTGCTGCAAGGTTGAAAAAATTTTTATTTTGTTTTGCTGATCAGCCTTACTATCTGAAATACTCGATTTTGTTTTTAGGCAAACTGAGCTATTTGAGAAATGATTCATAATTTTACAGTCTCTACATTTTTTCCCTCATGCTGGACATGATTCTCAACTAAAAGGATGCTTTTTTAAACAGAATTTACACGCCAATGAATTTAAACTAAAGTCTCTTTCATTGCCAGTGTTCTGTGTCTATGAATTAAATTTTTTCTGTTGAATAATTGTTGTCTGATTCAGTCAACATTTTTACTTTTATTACTTCGTAATTCAGACACACCATCTTGTGCTTTTTCGGAAGAGCGACAAATTTCTACTGCTTTATCTAGTGTTAACATCTTTTTAGAAAATAACTTTTCTCCATTATCTCTAAGAATTCCATTTTTTCCAATATAATAGAAGGGTCTATTTTTTCACCTTTGGTTAGACTTAATTAATTCTCAATCCAAGAGCAAAATGCAGCATACCTATCTACAACTAAATCTAAGATTGGGGAGAAACACTAACTTTACTATTTTCTGGCATTTTTTATAAATAGATTCAAGATTAAACAAGATAATTAGCAAATACTTTAAAACTTTATTTTCGCAGGTTTATTTACATACTTGTAGTGCCATGTTGTGTTCATAATAGTATATTCTCCTAAAAGACTGGCACCCATCTATCCAATCAAGCCGTGATACATGTATATAAATATGACACAAGGGTACAGCTCAGTTTTATGGTTCTGAGGCTGGCTGGTAGTCAGGTTTCCCGAACTCTGTGGTAGCTCTCAGAGAGGCTGATTCCATCAACAGCTGAAAAATATCAAAGTATTAACAGTGTCATGTTGCGTATGGATGGTGTCCCTGTTTGTACTTTTGGTGTGCATGTGGCGTCGAGGCCACATTTGGAGCACTTTGTTATGGCTTAGCGTTTTTTAGTAGTAATGAGGCAATTGCTTGGACTATCTAATAGTGTACTGAGTACTATCTGTGCTTTGAGTCAAGTTCTTTAACAAATCCAAAAATGTCTAAAGTAGCAAGAACTATAACACAAAAAACTGTTGTCATCACCAAGTTCTCTAAACCTATCAT